AATTATATCACTATATAGTGAATGATGATACTAACTATATCACTATATTATACGTGTATATTATACGTATATATTATACGTATATATCTGTATACATATGTCTGTTATTTTTATATTTTAATTTATAATGCAAATACTATGTTGAAATAATGTTTTCACTGAATACTGTTTACAATTAATGCGACCCGGGCACGCCAAGTTTTTTCTTCACTATAATCCAGTTGACAATTATAGTCACTTTTGGTCTGTCTTATGTGACTGGCGTAATGAAGAATACACTTGGTCAATTATATTTATCTCATATCGTTTTTGATCAAGAAGTTCAGTATCTTTTATATGCACTTGGCGTATGCTTTTTCTTTTTTTAGAAAAAGGTTTTTTATGGGATTCATTCATTCTCGCGACTTATTTTAATGCCGGGCTGGATCCAATACCCGTTTCGCGAAGGTCGTCGAGGCTTCTCCTCGCAGTAACAAAAAAACGGATCGACAATGTCCACGGCTTTCCCCGGCTACAACCCTCGTTCTCATTCTAGCAAATACGGAAAATTCTACTCGACGACCTTATTCGCTCGATCTAGACGCGATGACGGAAACAATTACATAACATCGAATTATATAGTTCGGATCCTGCTCCCTCTTACAGAAGCATCGTGCCTCGGCTCGTGGTCGCCACGCAAGTGAGGTCCTTTGTTTCGGCAGGGAGCACGCAGGCCGCGCCGTAATATCAAGCCCTGTCCTCCTCGCATCCCATTGGCCGCTAACTGTCTCGCACGGCCCCGTGAATCGCGTGGGCCCGCGGTTACCTCGCGGCTTCGTACGGCTCGGCGCGAAATCTGAGTCTGTCTCATTGCCGCCCGTTTCCTTTTCTCTAATTGTAGTTCCTTGCCCTCGCGGGCTCTCTGGATCTAAACTTCGGGAGATTCTCCTCACATCTCGCATGCTCTCACTGGCCTCTGCAAAAGTGATCGGCATGAAGAGGGCGCAAATAGAGGACGCCCCCACAGAATGACAGTAATTATACGACCTGCGTTTCCCTGCCTCCGAAAGTATTCCGCTCGTCGCCTCCGACAATCTTCTTCTCAGTTCTTCTTCTGCTCCGGCAATCGGGTGAGACAGCTCGATACAATCTTCCAAATATAGCCACCGATCCGCACGTCTATCATTAATAAGAATACTCGCAAAAGAAAAATATCATAAAATAAATACAACAATTTTCCGTAAACTTCGCGGCGCTCGACCGCGCCCGCACGCAAATACGCTCGCCCTCCCCTGAGCCGGGAGAGGGCAGGATCCGTAAGTTTGTATTTGTCGAAAAAGTGACGGACGAAAAACGTCACGTCACAACCTACTTTGTAAAAGTTTCGACATTACTTCTAACCCTGATAGCACACATAAATCCCAAAAACATTTCTGGAACGTAATATTGCAACCTTGAAACCATTTCATGTAACGTTGCGCAAGGTTTTTGCAAAGTTTTATTTGGGTTCCAGTAATGTCAAAATGTCCGCTTAGGTTAAATTTATAATCATTCAAATAGATTACAGCAATCTTAAACAAAACGCTATTGAAACCTTACAGAAATTTTCAATAAATGCTACTGTTATCTTCTGGAAACGTTCCTAAAACCTTATAGAAATGCTTCTTTATAAGTTATGTGTATATTCATATATATAGTAGTACATTTCTGTAAAGAGTAATTTATATATGTGTATATATATGTATCTGTGATAAGGTAAAAAAATTCCAATTATATTTGTTTATAAATATAATTATATATTTTAACAATATATACTTTTAAAATTAACATATATAATACTGCACATGTGATATACATATGTATATGGAAGATAATTCTCGGAAGTTTTTAAGAATTTCTTTTTCTTGACTTATATAAAATAAATTCCATTTGTAATAATAATCAATCATTTGTATAGAAAATTACGTATAGAAATAAAATTAAATTCTGTATAGAGAATTAGTAACACATATTAATGCTTATAATAATTAATATTTTAAAGAAAAAATTATAAAAAACTCAGAAATCGTATTAACATATTTTTTACTAGTAATTAAATTAATAACTTTGTACTTTGTAAGGATACTTAATAAATAATAATAAATAAATAAGTAAAGGACTCTTATTCTCAAACATAAATAGAAACTAAAAAGACAAATTAAGAGTCAAACATTAAAAATTTCTTTAATCACATAGTAAAAAGATAAAATAAATTAATATAAATTAACATGAAAAACAAGATTAAATACGAAGATATAAAAATATACATGAATATGAAAAAACAAGAACAAACTTAATACAAAAATAAAAAAAATAAAAAAAAATAAAACGGCTTAATCATTAAATCTATAAAACTTTACATGTTTCGACTTGTGGATTGAGTCTTCTTCAGAAGTAACCAAACGAAAAAACATCGTATAGATAAATCATTGGTGAAATAATGATGCATCCGACATCAAGGTAAGGAATTTATTATAAGCGATTGGTAGATCGATAATAAATCTATAAAAGAATTAAGACATTAACTTTATATGAACAATAGG